CAGGGTTAGGTCGGGCGTGTCCTCCTGCCGGCGGGTTTCGGGCGAACAGAAAAATAATGGTCGAAACCTCTGCAGGACATGTTCAGTCATAGCAGAACGTCGTCCTCTGATGGTTTGTGGACTCTCTGGGGATCCATCCCCCGTAGAGGGGCAGGCCCGACCTCCTGCCACGGCGGCCGGGCGGAGCCGCCGGCCGCCCCGCGGCGCCGTCGGGCGCGGCGCCCGACGGCGCCGCCGCCCCGCGCCGTGGCTGCGCGCTCGGCGGCTCGGCTCTCGGCGGGCTCCGCGCGGGGGGCCTCCGTCGCGGCCGGCGGGCGGGCTCGGCGGGCGCAGGGTCGAGTGGGGCCTGTCCCTCTGCAGGAGGAGCATTCCGAGGTGCTCCCAAAGCCGTCTGTGCACGATGTTCTGACTACCTGTGATGTCTGGCCATCTCAGATGGGCATGATGTTCTGGGCGCGTCTCAATCGTCTGAGCACGATGCTCTGACTACCTGTGATTTCTGGTGGCGTACTTGTTGAGTGCGTTTCATGTTTCGTCCACGGTCGGCCTGTAGGGGGCCATGCCCGGCCTAAGCACAGGGTGCCCCGAGATGCTGGCGCTGCAATTCTTGCTCAACGGGCGTTGTCGCCGGGCCTCTGGCCTTGGGGCCCTCCACAAGGTCGACGTGGCCCGAGCAAGAGAAGGAGGCAGGAAGACACGGGGTCTCCTGGGCTCCGGTCGTCGCTTGTTGCGATGGTCCCGTTGCGTTCGCGACGTCGGACCTCAGGGTGGGCGGCCGCCTCGGCGGCGGGCGGCGGGAGCGCCTCGAGCTCCCCCTCGGCGGCGGGCTGCATGGGGTCCGGGGCCCGCGTCGCGCAGCGGAGGGAGGTCATGGCCGCGGGGGGTCGGGGGCCCCGTCCTCTCGGAGGAGGGCGCCGCCTCCCCCGAGGTGTTCCCCGCCCCGCGCATGCTGCAGGTCTCGCTGCGTTTCTCGTGCGTCCAGGGGCTCGGGGACACGCGCCTCCCCGGCCTCAGGATCTCGGCGGCCCATGCAGAAGGCCGTCTCCCTCGGGGCCTCCGTGGGCCTTTCCAGGCTGTGGGGAGCAAGGCTGGAGCAAGGCATCCGCGTCAAGCCATCAGCGCCGCGAAGTTTTTGGGGTGGGCTCGCAGGTGCCAAGGCTGGTGCTGGAGGAGCTCGTTGCCCCACGGCGAGGCACGCCCCCGCGCCCCGCGCATGGTCTGCCTGGAGAGACCCAGTTGGCTCCCTCGTGAACTTGTGTTCTATCTGCCCGGCTCGTCGGCTGGACCATAGATCGAAGGAGAACAATTGCTGTAAACATAGGCTCTTGGCGCTCCGCGCGGATTTCTTGGATCGGCGCCTGGGCCCCCCTGGTGGTGCCTCCAGCGCCGACCCTGGCGCGCTGCGTGCGCCAGGGAAGGGAGGGGTGGCCCAGCCATATCGAAGAAGTCCGCGCGGAGCGCCGAAAGCTTATGTCTACGGCGTTTTGCCTTGTTCGAATCGAGGATGCGGACGGGGACGGCGGTGGACGAGTGGGATGTGGAGTCGGGCTTGCACTCCCTGCGTCCTGCGATGCCTTGCTGACAGGATGGGCCCTGCCGCCCGAAGGGCCGCAGACGGGAAGGCCCCGCCTCCAGGGCGGTGCGGGACGGGCTGCTGAGGCGTGCCGGAGGCCGCCCTGAGGCCTGCGGTCAGGACGCGGGAGGGAGGGCCACTCCGGGCTCGGGAGGGGCTCCGGGTGTGCGGGCCGTTCCTCGGAGCCCGTCCGTGGCCGAGGCTCGCCGTGGCCAGAACAAGAAAAGGCCCCGTTCGTTGCCGATGCTGCGCTGCCTATGGGGTGCTACGATGGCTGTGCTCCGGGGCTCCTGTTCCGGAGCTGGTCGGGCTCATGGGGCCGCCACGGGCGAGCAAAAACTCTCGGGGGCGTCGCTTCGGGGTTGTGCTGGACCCTGGGGCGGCTCCACGAGCACGAGCCAGCGGTCCCTCCCGAGCGGCAGCTTTGCAGAGCCGAGCGTGGCACCCGCTCTGACAGCTGCTACACATGTTCCGCGCACGACGCTTGGAGAAGAGCAACAGCCCGATAATGCGAGACACGCCGACGCCGCTGGCAGGAAAAGGGTTGGCTCGAGTCACTTTCCCCGATCCAGGCCAGCGTGGCGAACGAAGGCCCTTTGACCCGAGTTGAAGGCCCAGAGCTTCGGAGGGTCCCAGGAATCCCCCTCTGACGCTGGCCGCTTCTCCATATGCCAGTCGTTCTCAGTCATTCTGGCCGTCTTTCGACGGTGCTGGGAAGCGCCGCGCGGGCCACGGCCTCTGCCTCGTCTGGGCGCGCGCCCGGGAGCCCGAGTCTCGGCGTCGCGTCTGCCGTGCGGTTCTCCATCGTGCTCGCCCAGAAAATCAGCACGCTCTTCACCATCACTCTCACGCTTCGCGAACGGCAATGTTGAGACCGTGGGCACTTTCACATCTCAAGCGTAGTCCCCGACGCCATCATCATCTCCGTCACCACTACACTCACTCGGGCATCCGGCGCTCTGTCGTTGTACTGCAACTCGTTTTCGCAATCACAGTCGGCACTGCGGCAGTCACGGCTGCCACCCTGACGCCGCACATCGCCAGCACTACAGGCGCGCGAGATCAGCGGGGGGCCTCGGACCTCGAGGACGGGGCACGTGCAGCCCGAGCGGAACACGGCGGCGGTGGCGGAGGGATAGACCCGCAGGCGCGGTGCAGCCACGTGACCTCCGAATGTGCTCGAAGCGCGGCTCGGTGGCGAGCGCATGGCGGGGGGAGGGCGAAGGCAGGATTCAGCAGGGGGGGCGACCAAGCAGGCCGTGTGGGCCGTCGCAATTCCGCCGGGGAAGGGGGGGTGGAGCCAGGCTGGTGGAGCCTCCGGTGCCCTGGTGGAACTCGCTGCATGTCGGGCAATGCGCCGCTCGCGCAGCGCCGAGGAGGTGGGCTGGGTCACCCTCAGGGGCGCGAAGATAATCGCGCTCGCGGCCTGGACCAGAGAGCTGCACTTGTCCAAGGTATAGCGCGAGCTGCGCACCGCCCAAGCGCGGTACACGAAGCGTTGCCCTCACGTGCAGCTCCTTGGCACCGCTGCTCTCGGCCTCGGGGACCCGTCTGCGATCCCAGGCGACCCCGAGACGACCACGATGACGGCGCCGGTGGCGGCGGCGGCGACAGGAAAGGCGACGGCAACTGAAGGCGGCGAAGGCGAAGGCGGGTGCGGCGGCGGCGACGGCGACGGCAATCGCGGCGGCGACCGCAGCGACCCCTCGAGGTCGGCGCCGCCCCCTCGGCCGCACTCCGCGGGCCGCCTTCAGGCTGCCGAGGGCGCCGCGAGGCGCTCGCGCTCGCGGGCGGGAGGGGGGGTGCCCCGCAGACGCCGTTGCGACGAAGGGCGGCGGCACGGCGATGGCCACGGCGGCAGCGGCGGCGACGGCACGGCGACGGTGGGCAGGGCGACAGCCGCGGCGTCGTCGACGCTGCGACGGCGACGACGGCGACGACGACGACGGCGACGACGGTGACGACGACTGGGGCGGCGCTGCCGACGCGCCGCTCGCCCTCGCTCGACGAAGGCGTCGGGAGCGGTGAGGCCCGCCGCGGGTGGCCGTTGCTGCAGCGAGTGCTCCGGGCTTGGGTCGGGCAGCGCTGGGCGCCCGCGGCCAGGCGTTGCGGCCGAAGTTCGGCGGATCAAAGATGGGGTGCTGAGGGATGGTGTCCTGAGGGCGAGGTGCCTGAAACAACTTAAATCCACTCTTGGATCCCTTCCTATCCTTAGGACCCCATCCCCCAAGACCCCATCTTCGAACCACTGAGAAGTGCTCGGGGCGGGAAGGCGGGGCGGGGCAGCCGCCACGCCCGCGCACCCAGAGGTCTTGAAAGGGTCTCGGGCGTGCGTGGGCGCCTGGGGCCTCGGCTGCCCTGAGACGCCCGTGCTGAGACGCAGCCCGTGCCGTGCTCAGACCGTCCGTGGTAGCACGCTGCGTGTTGGTTCGGCACGTGTTGGCCCACGTTTCGGCGAGCGTATCGCGCCAGGGCTATGCGTGGTCAGTCGGCGTGTCGAAAGCCGTGTCAACACGCTAAGTGTCGCGTGTTGCGTACAGGGGGGCAGCTAGGCCTGGGGCATTTGACGTGGCCTCTGGTGGCTTCTGGAGGTTTTGTGCGTATGGAGGCTTTCAGGGACCTCGCGGGACCTCCAGGAGCTTCCACGGGGGGCTCCCGTTCGAGGTTTGGGGTGGCTTCCAGGAGCGCAGGCGGCTGGGCCGTGGTGTGGAATATCCACCGCCTGCCGTGAGCACGGCACTGGCCCTCGCATCCTGTGCGTCGTTGTTAGTATCACGACTGGCGTCTTTGCACCTTATTCCACGACGCTAGTGCAAAATACCATAGCCCCCGCAGTTGTTGATACGAGTGAGGGGGGGACGGGGTCGTGGGCAGCCTGCGAGGCTCTGAAGAACCGCCGTAGACGTTTTGTTTTACACATTACACATCGAGCCCAGCACAGGCGAGGAATTTTGGTCAAAGCAATGTGGTTGCGTCGCGGCTGCGGGTCGCGGGTGGGTCGCGGGCGGGTCGCGGGTGCGTCGCAGCCAGTCGCGGGCGAGGACGACGACAGCAACAACAATCAACCAACAAACAACAATCAACAAACAAAACCAATCATCTTCACCGCAGAAGTTCACTTCAGGCACGCACGCAGGGATGGTTTAAGGCCGCCCGGCTCCCTCACCCTGATGTATATTTGTATTTCGATATCTGCGCCATTACACAAGATTATGCATGCACAGGCAGTTGCTCCAGTTCGACTTGTGCACGGGCCCGATGGGCTGAACCCTGCTTGCCCCAGGCGGGCTCAACGCGGCCCAAGAAGGCCTTTCCGTAGCCGTTTCGGCTCAAGTGTTCTTGGTTCAAGCGTAGGGAGCGATAGCCAGGGTTGCTCTGCTAACCCACCTGCTCTTCAGCCGACTGGCAGCGAGTGGCTGGGTGGGCCATGCCTGCCGCTTTCGTGCCCCATCGCCATGGTTATGCCATGGTGATAGCTTGCCAAGTCGTGTATTGGTCAGGTTGGGCCCAGTACAATTGGATCTTCCTGCCACGGTTGCGGGAGGAGCTTGAGATGGTTTGGGCACCAGGGGTCTCTGCAACAACGGTTGTCGGCGTCATTTTCAACGTCGTGTTTTTTCTCGCCGTGTGGTCTTTCATGCGAACTCACTGCTCCGATCCTGGCGGTATCACCGAGGAGTGGCGATGTTTTGTGCGCGAGAACCACTTGAAGATCCACGAGCCGAGATTCGCCTGGCAGCCCGCGCAGGCAACTTGGTGCAGCAAGTGCGAGGATATCCGGCCAGAGCGGGCCCACCACTGCTCCTCGACCAACAAATGCGTCTTGCGTTTCGACCACTACTGCCCCTGGACTGCGAACAGCATCGGTGCTCTGAACCACAAGTTCTTCGTCCTCGTTGCGTTCTACACATTCCTCTCGAATCTTATAGCTGCGACGACGATGCTGCCAGTGGCAGTGCACATCGTGATCGAGTGGTTGGGCGGCGATCCTAACCCGACCGCCTGGCCAAACGCGGTCGTCATAATTCTCGCTGCCATGCTTGCTTCTGCCCTTACGTGGCTTTACGGGGACATGTGCCGAGACCACTTGTCCAAGGCGTGCCACAACATCACGTCAGTGGAGGTAAACTACACCAACATGCGCAATCCCTATGACTTGGGGAATAATCGTTTGAACCTGTCCGAGGTGTTCGGCGACTTCGGGCCCGACTGGTTCATTCCGGTTCTGCCCCAGCGGCCACGTTCCGACGGCATCTCGTTCGAGCGAAGGTGTGAGAAGAAGAGGGTCGATGAGCGCAAGCAGCTGGTGCACGACGCGGACACCTTGCTGTACTTCAGGTATGCCTCTTTGGGCTTGGCGTCGGACGCCTCAACGGAGGAGGTTTCTTCGTGTGGGAGCGGGAACTCGTCGGAGGGGACCGACGACTAAGCCCTGAGAATCGCAATCGCTAACAATTTGGGGATGGCGCTCACAGTTAAGCGACATCTCGGATAGAGTTCCCATCTTAGTGGAGCCAGCTTTTGCATTTGCAGTTTCTGCGATGGTGCAAGCTCGTTTGCCTTCGGATGCACATCGGAGTTGAGCTCGCGCTCGAGAGGCAAAGCTACTCAGCGAGCGGGCGGCGTAAACGAAAGTTTTGGCCCGCCCCCCCCCCCCATCCAAACCCCAAACATAGCACGGCCCAAGATCGGGGCCATGTAAGTCTCGAGTACGCTGGGTCTCGGGTTTGCCGACGTTTTTTGACGAGCGCGTCCTGGATTTTGACGGTCCAGTTTTCGCGGGGTGCTTGTAACGGGAGCTCGCATCAAAGTTCAGGCTGGGTTCCGTCATTTTCATGGTGGCCCCGTCAAGCCAATTCGAGTCCCCCGAACCCGAGTCTGGCATTTCACCGATAAGAAGGCCCCAGGAGGCCTTGAGGAAGCTTCGTCGACAGCCAATGACGGGCCAAGGACGGCGAAAGACGGCCGCAAGGTGGTCAAATGGGCCCCTTTGCCGGCTCAGGGGGACTCGAAGAGGGCCTCTCGTACGCCCGTCATAAGTTTTAAGAAAAAGCATCAAACTACATGGACCCCAGATCTCGCTTCAGAAAATGTAGAATATGGACTGGACCCTGGGCGTGCTCCTGGCACTGCCCTTATTCGTAGCACGATCGTATCTCTGGACCTAAACTGCGGTTTTTAGACCACGCTTGGAGCGCAGGGCGTTGTCTCAGCGCAGCATGCTCGTATCTCTAGACAGGGGTGCAGGCCCCCGAGAGGCAACACCCTCCTTGCGTTGTGTCTCCGCTGGCTTTTGCCAATTTTGGCACACCTCCTCCTCCTCCTCCTCCTCCTCCTCCTCCTCCTCCTCCTCCTCCTCCTCCCCTCCCCTCCTCCTCCTCCTCCTCCTCCTCCTTCGCTTTGGCTACCAACCGAGGGATACGAAACGCGGGACTCCGCATCCGCCACTCTGGGCCTCCTGGATGGGGTCGGATCAGATGGTGTCGGAGGATCGCGCCGCATCGTCGATGCATCGGCGATGCGGCTCGATGCGGAGCACGAGTTTCTCCACGCCAGCGTCGCCACCGTCGACGTCGCCGATGCATCGGCAGTGCATCGGCGATGCGGCGCAATCCTCCAACCCCATCTACTCGGATCCCATCTGGGAGGCCTTTAGCCATGGTCGGCCCAGGGAAGCCTCCGGCGGGGCCGCAGCTGTGAAGAACACCCGTCCCAAACCCTCTCTGCAGTTCCGTCCGCGCCCGCCCGACGCGGCAGTCGTAGCGTATGAGAGCCTTGTGGGGGGCAGCACAGCCACACCACATGTACGTGGTTGCACTGTTTGTTTCACGCCTGTGCTTAGGGGACCACGTAGGTCATTGGTCTCATATGTTTTAAGCCCCCATCAAGTGTCACAGAGGGGCGCATGAGAGCAGGACGAGGAGGAGGGAGGAAAAAAGGGGAGCAGGAGGAGGAGGAGGAAAGGGGAGGAGGGGGAGGAGGAGGAGGAGGAGGAGGAGGAGGAGGAGGAGGAGGAGGTGGAGGAGGAGGTGGAGGAGGAGGTGGAGGAGGAGGAGGAGGAAGCGGGAGGGGGTCGCAGGGGAGGGCCGCGAGGCTGACTTCTTACGAGCCTAGCAGCTATAGGTATCACCACAGCCTGTGTAAGCGAGGCGCTTAGTCCTGGCGGGACGCGTTATGGCCTGAGGCTGTCGCAAGAAGAAGGACGGCGGGAAACCGCCCTCCACTCCCCCAGGCACACCTTATCGGGGAGCTGGACGAGTGACGCGGACGGTCCAAGGGGGTAACTATGAACAATGGGCGGGAGAGTGGGGTGGGAGGCAATCGAGCAGGAGGAGCAGGATCAGGGGGGAGCAGGCACAGGACGAGCAGAAGACCGCGGAGGAGGATGGTGCAGCGGAGGAGGACGAGGAGGAAGAGGCCGAAGAGGGATGAGGAGCCCTGAGGCTGGCACGCCCGACACGACACCCGAGCGTGCTGGGACAGGGCCAGCGCACGCCGAGACTCGCTGCGGAGCGGCGGGGCGACGAACACGACGTGCGAGGGACACCGGGTGACCACCTTTGGGCTGCCAGAGGTCGAGACGGTGGGAGTGGTCTGCCCTGTCCGATGCGCGGGCCCACTGTGGCTCGCGCCGCGCGTGCGTCGCTCCCATCCGCTCGTGGGCTACGTCCTTCCAGAGCGCTCCTCAGAGGAGTGGAGGAAAAGGTACCCATACGGATACACTTCCCGCATTTTCCCTTGCGTGAGCCTCCTGGGAGGCCCTCATCGCCACCGCTGGATACGCCTCGAAATTCGGATCAGAACGCACCCCTGGAGAGGTCTGGGGAGTAGGGGTATCGGTGCCTTTTGGTTTTCCCTGCCCCTGGGCGTTGTTCCTGAGCGCTCTGGAGCGGCCGCTGTGCCCGATGCATCCCGACCTGATGTTGTCCGCTTCGCAGCGTCGTCTCGCAGCGCATCCCTGGCCAATCCAGTCCTGGTCTGATCGGTGCGCGCGCCCTCCTGGAGGAGGAGGAGGAGGAGGAGGAGGAGGAGGAGGAGGAGGAGGAGGAGGAGGAGGAGGAGGAGGAGGAGGAGGAGGAGTAGGAGGAGGAGGAGGAGGAGGAGGAGGAGGAGGAGGAGGAGGAGGAGGAGGAGGAGGAGGAGGAGGAGGAGGAGGAGGAGGAGGGAGGAGGAGGAGGAGGAGGAGGAGGAGGAGGAGGAGGAAGAGGAGGAGGAGGAGGAGGAGGAGGAGGAGGAAGAGGAGGAGGAGGAGAAGGAGGAGGAGGAGGAGGAGGAGGGGCTAGGGCGGGGAGGAGCAGAGCACAGAACGGCAGAAGCGGGCACAGCCGTGAACCTCTGAAGGTCCGCTCGAGTTCCCTGGGCCTGCGTTGGGCCCCCCATTCCTCGCATGCCTGGCGGCGCCTCTGCAGCCGCCCCTGGCGCCCTCGAGAGAGGGGGAGCGGGCAGAGGGTCCGGCGCCGACCCAAGAACTCGTCGCGGAGCTCCAACACTTTACGCACATGCAGAGGGGACGGTTGGAGTCGCCCTCGGAGCGCTCGGAGTTGTCGCTCTCGGGGTCGTTTTGTAGATCTCTTGGGCCTCTCATGGCTGATCTTGGAGCGGTCTTGAAAGCTCGGGATTCCATCGGAGCCCTTCCGACTGCGGCTTAGACAGTCTGCACAGCCATGTCTGTTTTGTCCGGAGACGGCTTGGGGTGGTAGTTTGAAGCCTCGAGAGGTTATCGAATTCCTTTGGACGGCGGCCAGGGTAGTTTAGACATCCGTGTCCGTTAATCCAGAGACGGCTGGAAGCGCTCTCGGAGCGCTCGGTGTCGCTCTTGGGCAGCCTTGGTGGTCTTTGGGGGTTTCTCTTCCAGCCGATCTTGGGTGATCTTGGAGCCGTCTTCAAGCCTCGGATTGCCTTCCCATGGCGGTTGGGAAAACTTAGACATCCATGTCCGTTGTTTGTCCGGAGAAGGTTTGGGGCGATGTTTGAAGCCTCGAGAGGTTATCGCCTTCCTCTGGGTGGCGGCCCGGACAATTTGGACACCCATGTGCGGTTTTTCCTAGGAGCTCGGGGCGTTCCTTGGGCCGCTCTTAGGCGCTGTTGGGTCGTGTTGGAGAACTCTTGCGGCCTCTTCGGGCTCTCGTCCGGCCATCTTGGAGCCGTCTTGAAGGCTCGGAAGGCCATCGGAGTCCTGTGGACGGCGGCCCAGACAATTTGGACTCTCATGTCCGTTTTGTCTGGAGTTTCGGGCGCGCTTGGAGCCCTGTTAAGCGATCGTGGGGCCGCCTTTGAGATCTTCCAGAACATCATTGGGGCTCTCTTGGAGCATCTTGGAGCCATCTTGAAGCCCTAGAAGGCCTTCTGTACGTTCGGGATCAGCGCCTATGGTGCAGTTAATCTCATCGTCTGCGTCTGCGTCGGCGTCTACGTCAGCGCCGCCGCCAATGAGGGGGCGTCGTCGACGACGCCGACGATGAGGGGATGGGTTTTTGAACAATTGCGAAACCTAATTACCCCTGCCAGCGGGTCAGATCGACGCTGGGGTAGCGGGGGCAGCGGACACCCCCGCTGGGGCTTGCTGGGCGGCAGGCACCACTCGAATTCACGACCCCAGCGTGGCTTCAGGAATCTGACCTGTAGTCAAGGGCATAAAAGACGCCCCTACCCTGGTTTACGAGGCGCTGTGTGCTGAAACTCCTGTGGGCTGACAGGGTAAACCCTGCGTGATGTGCCGCGACCTTGCGGCGCTAGGCTTTGGGGGTTCCCAGGAGGTTTACAGACCACGCACTTGTAACCCAGGGTAGGGTCGTTTTTTCATCCCTCAGTGTAGGGGTGGGGATCTCATGTGGTTACCTCATGGGGGAAGGGGGGACGGATGGGCCTCTGGGGCCGGGGGCGCGGGGCTCGGCGCCACGGTTCGCCACGTCTGGCTCCGCCCTGAGCTCGTGTCCAGTGCGAGGACTATTCCAAGGGGGGGTGCTCGGAGAACCCAGCCGGGGAGGGCATCGAGGGCATCGGGGCCAGGACCATGTCTTGAATCGGCCTCGGCCGCGGGTGTGTTGGTGCCCTGGCGTCGAGGTCTCATCTTGCATGGTGCGGCTTGCGGATTTGATGGAGCTCCCCCGGTCTCCCGCACTGTCCCTCTTCCTGTCTCCTCCATTCTCCTCCTCCTCCTCCTCCTCCTCCTCCTCCTCCTCCTCCTCATATTCCTCCTTCTCCGTGCCGCCACACAGCAAAGGTCGTGGCCAGGGCATTTTGCATTTCTCCGCCCCTCCTCTGTTTCGACGATGCTCATCATCAGCAGCAGCACCATCAAACGGAAGCAGGCCACCCCTCGATCTGGCTCGCGCGCGCCGCGAAGTGCGCGGTGCGCGCCAAGGCGCCCTTCTCGCGCGCAAGGCGCGTGTGCGCCGTCGCGCGCGCCCCTCGCGCCCGTCCCTCGCCGAGGCGCGCCCGAGGCCGGCCGCAGTGCGCCGCGCGCGTGCCGAGGCGCGTGCCGAGGCGCCGCGTGCTCCGCGCCAGGTGCCCTCGCTGCCCTGGCACGCGGCGCGCGCGCGCGGCCGCGCTCGGGGCCCTGGCGGCCATGCGGCGCTCGGGGCTGCCCCTGCTCGGCCCGGCGGCGGCGCTCGTGCCCCTGTGCCTGGCCGGCGCCCGCGCGGCGGCTCCGGGGCCGCCGCCGCCGCTGGGCGGGCCGTACTGCTCCCAGCACGGCGCGTGCGCCTCGTGCGTGCGGGAGCCCGCGTGGGTGCACTCGTGCCAGTGGTGCTCGGCGCCTCTCAGGGGAGGGCAGGGGTGGGACTCGACGAAGAAGGCACGCCACAAACATGGGTAAACTGTTGGCGCGCCGCGCGGGTTTCTCGGACCCGCGCTGGGGACCCCCTGGCGGCGCCTCCAGCGCCGCCTTTGGCGCGCTCCGCGCGCCAGGGAGGGGGGTCCAGCGCAGTTTCAAGAAATCCGCGCGGAGCGCCAAAAGTTTATGTATATGGCGTGGTTTTCTTCTTCTATCTCAGATGAGGGCGGGGTGAGACAGCGGTGGTTGGCCTTCGGGCGGCCCCATCGTCGCCGCGGCTGGACGCAGCTCAGAAACATGATGCGTTTGGGCCCCGGGAGGGGTCTGGGGACCGACTTTGAGCCGCCATTGCCTCCACTCGCCTTCCTCCGATGGGGAGGGCCGGATGAGGGGCAACGTCAGGGGGCATGAGATGTTCAGGGGGCAGCGCATCGGCCACCGATCGCATATTCATCGCCGATAGTGGGCCAATAGCCCACCACGCCAAGGAGCGTGTGGTTTTGCTAACGAGGGCTTATCGCCGATCGGCGATGTATTGCCGATTGCGGGTCGATGCCTGCGTTCCCCCTCACTCGTGGAGACGGAGGCCAGGAGCAGCAGCAGTTTCTGTTTTTTCTCGGAGAGGGGCGGGCTTCGCTGTGGGTGTTGCCGCGGACGCTGCCCAGTCGCGGGAGGAGGAGGAGGAGGAGGAGGAGGAGGAGGAGGAGGAGGAGGAGGAGCAGGAGGAGGAGGAGGAGGAAGATGAGGAGGAGGAGGGGGGGAGGAGGAGGAGGAGGAGGAGGAGGAGGAGGAGGAGGAGGAGGAGGAGGAGGAGGAGGAGGAGGAGGAGAGGGAGAGTAACGTCGCCTGCCCAGTCGCGGGACAACGCTGGCTGCCGGGCGTCGTCCATGGCCGTTTTCGTCCCCGTTCCGGGCTGCGCCGCTTGTGCCGGCGGCGCGCAGAGCCCCCCACCTGTCGGACGGCGCCAGCTGCGCTCCCACACCGATTCTGGCCAGGGTGAAGTCGGGCATGTCCCCCTACAGGAGGAGTGTTCAAACCTATTCAAACAAATGGTCAAGAATAGTCAGACGAGTAGTTTGGACTATTCTTGAGTATGCGTTGAGTATGTTCCGACTAGAGTCCGCCTGTAGGGGGACATGCCCGACCTAAGGCTAGGGTGGCCCTGTGCTCGGGACAGGTGTGCCCAACCCCTCCGATCGGAAGCCGGGCAAGGGCTGCTGAATCCGTGGCTGCCAAAATCGACCTCCGGGAAGTTGTCTTCGTCCTTCCGGGAAGAAGCCCGCTGTTTCGCGTGCCGCGCCTCATTCCGGGAAGTTGTTTTCTCCTTCGGGAGGGCCGTTTGAGCAGCCACGGTTTTAGCAGCCCTCGCCCAGCGTTCGATCCGAGGAGGCCAAATGCTGCAGGCTGCGGGCGGAGCAGGCCTCGGGGCCGAGCTCCACCAGGGCCCCGTACTCCGAGGAGAGGCGAGGGCCAGGGCGAGGGCGAGGGCGAGGGCTCCTCCTCGTGGAGGAGAGGCGTGGCGGGGGCGAGGCGGGGGCGAGGGCGAGGGCGAGGGCGAGAGGCGAGGGCGAGAGGCGAGGGCGAGGGCGAGGGCGCGGAGTCCTCCTCGCGGAGGAGAGGCGTGGCGAGGGCGAGGCGGGGGCGAGAGCGAGGGCGAAGGCGGGGGGACTCCGCGGAGGCCGAGTCGAGGGCGCACCGAGCCGGGCCCCAGGAGGGGCCTCGCCGAGGATCGGCGTGAGAGGTGCGCAGCCGGCGTCCTCCCGGCACGGGGCGACGCGCAGGGAATCACGACGGGCGGTTTTTGGGAACCCCCAAACCAGGTGGTGAGATACCAGGTTGCGACCTGGAATCCCCAAAAAGGTCACCGCTGGGTTTGGGGACGCGGGGTCACCACCGGGTTTTGTGACCCCTGGACCCACCAGTGTCCGGAACATCCTCGGAAAACCGCACGAGTCCCCAAACCGGGTGGTGACACCAAATCGCCCGAGACTCACCGCCAGGTGTTGTCACCACCACGTTTGGGGACTACCAAGGTTTCGCTCGGCTTCGGGTGCTCGCAAGGTCTTCGTTTCTATTATCCATTGTTCTCCGATCGGCGCGGGCCCTCGCCCCCCCCTCCCCCTCCCCCCCCCCTCTCCCTGGAGTAGACCTTTGCTGTGTTCTGCGCCAGTTTCGAGCAGGTGGAGTCTCCCCGTAGGACGCACCGCTGCAAGCAGTCGCACCAAGCAGAGGTCCAGAGCCAGCCCCCCCCCCCTGCCCCCCCCCCCTTCCGCCCAGTGTCGAGGCGCCGAAGGAGAAAGCGTTCACAGGGCTCGGTCCAGCCCGAGAAGTCCAGCAGGAGGCCCGGGTTGAGAGCGCTCCGGAAGGCGAGAAGCCCTCCCCCCTTGCACTTGGAGGGGCCTCTCCTGGTCCCCTCCCGGGGGTCCAGCCTGGCCAGTTCCTCAAGCTGCGTCCAGCCATGGCCGCGAGGGCCCCCAGGCAGGCCCCCAGAGTGTCACTGGACCCAGGAATCCGTACCTTGTTCATGTCCAATTCTCTGAAAGTTCTTGATTTTTGGGGGAATTGTTCTATCCTGGGTCTCTTCCTGGCCACTAGGGGCCAGGAACAATCAGAAGCGAGCACAATTAGAAATGAGCACGATTTGAAATGAACGACGTGTATCCTGCCAAGGTCTGGGCCTCCTGGATGTGGGGTCGGGGTAGATGGGGTCGGAGGATCGCGCCGCATCGCCGAGACATCGCCGATGTGGCTCGATGTGGAGCCCGATTTGCTTCACGTCGGCGTCGCCGATGCATCGCCGACATCGACGATGCATCGCCGGTGCATCGCCGATGCGTATCCCATGCATCGCCGATGTATCGGCGATGCGGCGCGATCCTTCGACCCCATCTACTCGGACCCCATCTAGTAGGCCTCTACAAGGTGCGCGGCCGACCAGCGCTGCTACTACTGGGGCAACCCGTGCGGCGCCAACCGCACCGTCACGAACGCCTCCCTCTGCCCCGCTCCGACGCCCGCGCGGACGAGCTTCAGCACGGGGGAGGCCGGTGTGGCCTTCGTAGGCGTCGTCTTCGAGGATCGATGTTCGAGGATCGCACCGGCGTCATATTCGAGGTCTTCGAGGTTCGATGTTCGAGGTTCGGTGTTCGAGGTCTTCGAGGTTCGATGCTCGAGGATCGATGTTCGAGGTCGTCTTCGGCGGCGAAATCCGAACCCTGCCCTCGCCGATCAACGATTCCGGCAACTGAATGGGCGGCGGGAGTGGGGTTCGGAGTTCGTCGAGCACGTGGCGAAGTCCGAGCCCTGCCTCTGCGTCTCATCGGCTCAGGAGACGCGATGGCTGTTGGGGATAGGGTTCGGATGTCGCTACCTGCCGAGGCTTTCTGGCACCTCCGGGCGACAACAGTCGTCGTCTTCGCCACCGCCGTGACAATCGCCGTCGTCGTCAGTGTCGTCAGCATCGTCGTCGTCCGTTGTCGTCGTCGTCGTCGCCGTCGTCGTTGTCGTCTTCGAGGGTGCCAACGCACCCCGGGGGGAGGCGTACGGCATGTTGCTGCACTCCAACGCCGTGTACTACGACGACCCGATCGCGAAAGGGGTGCTTCCGCCGAGCTTCCGGCTGAACAAGTCGATGAAATATTCCATCGGGGGATCCCCTGCGCGCCAGTGAGCCCCACGGTCCCCTGCGGGTCCAATTGATGTCAGGGTATCGGACATCCCCGCTGGGGGGTACATGGCTGCAGACATCCTTTAAAGTCTGAACCTCAGTCTCCTTGTCGCAAAGTTCCTCCTCCTCCTCCTCCTCCTCCTCTTCCCTCCTCCCCCGCATCCTCCATCTACTCCTCCGTCCGCGTCCTCGTCCTTCTCATCATTCTTTCTCCTCCTGGTCATCGGTTCTCGATCTCTCCCTCCTTCCTCCTCCCTGCTGCCTACTCGCCGGTCCTCCTCCTTTCCATCCTCCGCCGTTTCCTTCTCCTCCTCCTCCTCCTCCTCCTCCTCCTCCTCCTCCGCACCGTGTTCCCACCTCTTCCTTCCTTCCGTCCTTCCTTCCTTCCTTTCGTCCTTCTTTCCTTCGTGTTGCGATAGTTTTTCCACAACTACGACATGCACGAGGGGCCCTGGGCGGCGCAGAAGCGAGCATTTGTTTGTTCCACGGCGCCAGGAGGAGAGGGCCCTCCCTCCTCCCCCCCCGCCAAGTGACGTCGGCCAGCTCCTGACCCTGAGAGGAGGAGGAGGAGGAGGAGGAGGAGGAGGAGGAGGAGGAGGAGGAGGAGGAGGAGGAGGAGGAGGAGGAGGAGGAGGAGGAGGAGTAGGGGGAGGAGCGGCCGACGGAGAAGCACGCGCCGGGGGCCCGAAACGCCGGCGGGTTCGGGCCAAGCATAATTTCTCGAGGCTCCGCGCAGATGACTTGCCCCCTGGCGGCGCCTCTGGCGCCGCCCTTGGCGCGCTCCGCGCGCCAGGAAGGGGTGTCCAGCGCAGATCCAAGAAATCCGCGCGGACCGCCGAAAGTCTACGAGCCTGCCGCTTTGTCCTTCCCCGCAGAAGTCGGCATTTTATCTCGCTTCTGGCGATCCCCACCCGAGAACGCGAGGCGGGACCAGCAGTGATCACGGGCACCCTTTGGGCCTGTCGGCCACAGCACGCAGTCCTCATCCGTCGAGGGCGCGAGGCGGGACAGCCAGTGAGCACCGGCACGCTGTGGTCCTGGCGGCTGCGGCGTGCAGGGTGTGCGAGGTGGGTCGGGCAGTCTCTTCTCGGCGGCGAGCGCGGGGGGGAAGTGGGAGGAGAAGGCCCTCTCAGAAGGCGGTGGGGCTTCTCAGAAGACCTCGCGCCTTCTGAGGAGCGTTTTCTGTCGTCAGGGAAGGCTTAGGAAACTTATCAGATGGCCCGGGGACTTCCGAACCTTCTGATGAGGCCTTCTCCTTCTCACTTCCCTCCCTCGCTCGCCGCCGATGTTCTTCAAATCTAACAACCGCAACCTGCCAGATGGGGCACAAGCGAGTTAGGAACAACCTGACGGGCGCGTCGGGATCCCCCGCGCCGTCGGCATGTGGCAGGACGCCTTCGCGTACGTCGGCGTGGACGACGGCTCCGGCCGCGTCGTTGTGGCCTTCCGGGGCACCCTGACTTGGAGGGGCGGGCTGGGGGGGGGATGCAGGGTGGCAGGGGCGGAGAGAGCAGGGAGGAGGGGGAGAATGATAGAGGGAAGAGGGAGGGTGTGGAGGGAGAGGGTCGAGAGAGAGAGAGAGAGACGGAGATGTTGTAAGCCGTTTTCCAACATGGCCTGTATAAGCATGCGCTTATTTCAGCGACGCGGAACATTTCTTTCTACGCCAGTGGTTTCGTTCACATATTGCAGAGCGTATTGCAAAAGATGTTCGTTCTGTCGCACTTGCACCGTCTCCTTTCCGAGCTCGGCAACCACAAGTGCAGCAAGACGAATTGATGCAGACTGTGCATCCTTGTCTGTGACCACACTCTTGCTCTGGGAATGGTGGCCCAGCGCTGCGCGACACAGGTTTTCGAAAGAAGGACAAACAAAGAGAAAGAGAGAGAGAGAGAGCGAGAGAAAGAGAGAGAGAGAGAGAGGGATGGAATCCACAACAAGGGAAGCGTTGCCACACATACTCAAGGAAGCAGTGAGGGATGACAGATGGATGCAGCGGTGCGGGGAGGGAGGAGACGGCGAATGCGGAGGAGGAGGATGAGGAGGAGGAGAAGGAGGAGGAGGAGGAGGAGGAGAAGGAGGAGAAGGAGGGAGATGGTGCAGTGGAATGAAGAGGGAGGGGAGGTGGAGAAGAGGAGGCGGAGGAGGAGGAGGAGGAGGAGGATGTGCGGGGGGGGGGGTATTACTTAGGAGGAGTAGCGGACAGAGGAGGAGTTGGGAGCTGGGGAGGTGGAGTAGGAGGAGGAGTAGGAGTAGGAGGAGGAGGAGGAGGAGGAGGAGGAGGAGGAGCGGGAGGAGAAGAAGGAGAAGGATGAGAAGTAGGAGGAGGAAGCGACAATGGAGAAAGACAATAAAACAAAGAGGGAGGGTGAGAAAGGGGGAGGAGAAGGCGGAGCAGGGGTGGATGAGAAATGGGGAGGAGCGGAGGAGGAGGATGTGAAGACGGAGGGGGTGGAGGAGGTGAAAAGAGGGATGGTTAGGAGGAAGAGGAGGAAGCAGATGACCAGAAGTCGGTGGATGACCAGAGTAAACCGAGGATGCATCGACGATTCTGCCATACACTCTCCCGTCTCAAGTCTTCTCTTCAGAAGTTCCCATAATGCCTCCCTCTTCACAACAAGAAGTGCCCCCTTGGAAGACGATTGCCCTAGGGGCCTCTCCATCAGGTGGGGGCCCCGTCTGGAAAAGGAAGGGTCGTGCCTCGTCAGCGGCGGTTTTCACCAGCGCGGACAGGGACTTCTCCCGGCGCAGGCGGGAGGGCTTTTGTCCTGGGGTTTCTGCGGCCCGCTCCGCTCCCACAAGCGCGGGGGGGACGGCTGCGAGGGACAGCATCTGCATGCCATTGCTTTGTGTAGCATGCCTCTGGTCAGCATGGCTTTCATCTGAAGGAATCTGCTCATGTTGGGGTGGACAGTGTTAATGCAACGTCTCCGCCCGAGCCTTGGGCCAAACCTTGGAGCGAGCCAGCTTGAGCCAAGACTCTTGAGCCAAGACTTTTGCCCTGTGGCAGCTAAATGTGGCAGCTAACAATCCCACACAGTGGGAGAACGCACGCGGCACGAATTGCATGTGCTCGTGCAATATGTGTTGTCCAGCAGGGTCCCGCCGAACTCTGCCGTGAAAGTGTGTTTTTCCGACCCCCCCTAAGGAGCTTTGGGGGGGGGATTCTGTCGATGAGCATTTTCACTCGAGTGCATTTTTCTATCTCCCGGCGGTTCAAAAGGTTCTTGTTTGATCCAATCTTGATCCATTCCACTCGTTGCCTGGATTTCTTGCGTCCCGCAGCTTTTCTGTGCCCTCGACCCACGGGGTGGGAGGGCGCGCCATGTCTCTCCTCCCGCCCTGCCCTGCCCCGGAAAAAGGGGGGCTTGGCGGGCGCAGCGCGGGGCACACCCGCACCAACCCCGCATCTGAAGAGACGGGATCGTCAGTCAGTCCGCTCCAGCGTGTGATTGCTATTTTCGTTATGTCTCGCGTGCTCTCTGTTGACCTCGACGCCCGTGATCACCGCAGCCCCCACGAGGGGGGGACTCTAGCCACTTGGTCCCCTGGGGGGTTGTAGCAGTTTCGGCCCCGAGAGCGTTCCGGTGCCGATGCGTGCATTGGTCGATGCTGCCCGATGGCCACCTGGCTCAGCATATGTATAATCATGCGTTTCCACGAGATGCCACACGAGAGCACAGTGTGGGAAAGGAACCGCCCCCGTCCGAGTAATGTTTGGACATCCGTACTGTTACACACTCGCTGGTAGCGGGTCTCAGGCGATAGCCCAATTTTGAAAAGGAGCCGCTCTTCGTCAGCGCAGCTGTTGCACAGTTTGAAGTTTTGTTGTTGTCGAACTTAGCGGGATCACAATTGAGATCCTTATACTTTGAAGAGGAGCCGCCCTCCAGCTGAAACGATAGCCCCATGTTTAAAAGGCACCGCTCTTTATCGTTGTGTCTGCTGGGCGTTGTAGGCTTCAGGCTCATGCATTGCGCGGGAAGGTCTAAGCTGAAACGCGCAGCCCGCCCTGTCGACACGTCTGGTGTTGTGGCAGGGAGGAAGTAGATGGAAGGAACAGCGATGGAGGAGACGGAAGAGAGAGGAAGAAAAGGTGGAAGAGAATGAAGAGAGGGGGAGGTGGGAGGAGGGGGATGAGAGGAGAAGAGATGGAGGAGGAGGAGGAGGAGGAGGCGGAGGAGGAGGAGGAGGAGGAGGAGGAGGAGGAGGAGGAGGAGGAGGATGGAGGAGGAGGAGGAGGAGGGGAGGAGGAGGAGGAGGAGGAGGAGGAGGAGGAGGAGGAGGAGGAGGAGGAGGAGGACGATGAGAAGGAGGCGGGGAGTGAAGGAGCAAGGGAGGCAGGGGATGAGAGGTGGGAAGGAGGAGGAGGAGGAGGAGGAGGAGGAGGAGGAGGAGGTGGGGAGTGAAAGGGGGGGGAGGGAGGGGATGAGAGGGGAGAGGAGGCAGAGCAGGCATGGAGGGAAGGACGCAGCTGTTCGACGAGCTTCTCCAGCACGCCCTCGTGAACGTGACGTGGGCACCGCAGCCCGACGCGCTCCTCAACGAGTACTTCGTGTGGGCCGTGGACAGTCTGTGGGGCAACCTGAGCGGCGCCCTGACGGACATCCAGAGAACGCACCCTGGGTATGAGGCCTTCTCCCTCCTCCCTCCCTCCGTCCCTTCCTCCTCCTTCTCCTCCTCCTCCTGCTCCTCCTCCTCCTCCTCTTCCTCCTTCTCCTCGTCTCCCTCCTCCTCCTCTCCATCCTCCACCTCCTCCTTCTCCCTGCTGCTGCTGCTGCTGCTGCTGCTCCTCCTCCTCCTCCTCCTCTACATCCTTCCTTCCCCTCTATGTTCTCCGCATCCTCTTCCTGCACACCCTCTTGTCTTCCTCGAGCATCGAGGAGGAGAAGGAGGAGGAGGAGGAAGGGCAGGAGGAGATTGGAGGACCGAGAGGAGGGGGATGAGGAAGAGCAGGCGGAGGCAGAAGCCGAGGAGGAGGAGGAGGAGGAGGAGGAGTATTCATTCTCATGCCTGCACCTTTTCCGCATCCTCTCCCGTCCCCCTCCTCCTGCCCCCTCCCTCCCCCCCCGCCCCGCGATCGCGCCCCCAAGCGTGCTCGGAAGCGCGCGCGTACGACGGCGACGATGATGGCGAGTGCGGCTGCGCCACAGGTTTTCGAATGTTTTGGCAGGTTCGTGCAAAAATTGAGGCCCCCCCCGAATGGTTTGGCTGGCTGCGCCAAAGCTCGCGCCAAACGCCGTGCTCAAGGCTTTGCGCGCTTTCCCAAAAGGCACCGCCCCAGGCCCTTCTGGACTTCGAGCCCAATACTTGCTGGGCGCCCTCACCCCCGCCGCCCGCGCGACAGTCTGCGAGCAGCTCGCGGCCGTCGGGCACCTGCCGGCGAACGGGGAGGCGCCCCGGCAGTTGGCGCCGTACCTTGCTGGGGCCAGTTTTGTGGCGCTGGAAAAGGAGGACGGCGGTGTCCAGCCGATCGCAGTCGGCGAGGTGCTCCGTCGCCTCACGAGCAAGGTCATCTGTGAACACGTGAAGGGCAGGGCCCGTCAGACGTCGTGGCCACTGCAGACTGGCTGTTGCAGCCCGTTGGGTGCGGAGGTACCAGTGCACGCCGTGCGCCAGTGGTGAAGCGCAACAGCACCCCTGGCAACAAGGTCCTTCTCAAGCTGAGCTTCGCGAGTGCCTTCAACACGTGACGGCGTGGCGAGGTGTTGCGCGCCGTCGGCGACTGCTTCCCCGAGCTGGAGCGGTGGGCGCGCTGGACGTACGCGGAACACTCGCACCAGCGGTTCGGCGGCAAGAACACGGTGTCTTCCCAAGCTAGCGTCCAGCAGGGCGATCCACTGGGGCCTTTGTTCTTCTCCCTGGCTGTGCACCCAGTGCTGGAGGAGTTGGTCAAAGACCAGGAGTTGGACCTGAAAGCCTTCTTCCTGGACGATGGCTTCTTGGCAGGCACAGCGGACGCGGTGGCGCGGGCGCTCGCTGCCTTGCAACTCCGCTGCACAGCGTTTGGTCTTGCACTCAACCTGGGTAAGTGCGAGCTCGTGGCCCCATGGGGGAAGGCGCCAGGCGGCCTGGATCGTGGCACCAGGCCTCCCGGGGGCCGGCGTGCGCCGGCCTGGGCCTGCGGCGGCTGGAGGCGCACGCGGCGGGCGCGTACCTGGCCAGCCTCGGCTCCACGCGGCGTCTCTGCTCGGAGCCAGACTCGGAGTATCACTGGGCGCCAGAGGATGCAAGCGCGCGGGCTGGAGCTGCTCTCTCTCTCTCTCTTTCTCTCTCTCTCTCTCTCTCTGCGTACAACGCGCAGCTCCCGCAGTCTGCCAGCTTGCTTGCGCCCTGATTCGAGAACCTCGGCGGTCGGGCTTCCTGGAGGCCGCGCCCAACGAGAAGTTGGGGCTGCTCTTCGAGCCGGAAGAGTTCTTCACCGAGCTGCGGAGGCGGTTTCTGCTCCAGGTCTGACACGGACCATGTATGCCCTTGCTGCGATGAGCCTTGCGACCGGCGCGGGCGCCACGCTGGCCTCTGCGCTGGTGCGGGAGACCAGGTGTGTCGGCACAACGCCGCGCGCAACCTTGTAGGGCGATTCGCCGCCGCAGCCAGCTGCAACCCAGAGCTGGAGAGGCTGGGGCTCTTGCCACCGCGCCCAGGCGACGACCGCGCCATCGGCCGTCGCCCCGCCGACGTGTACATCCCGAGCTGGCACCTAGGCACGCCTGCCGCCATCGTCTTCGCGGTTTCCTGTCCGCGCCGGCAGGCTGCCAGGGGGCTGGGTTTCCAAGGGATTGGATGAGCCGCGAGCGCGTGCGAGGTGGTCAAGCGCACCCACCTCTACCTCGACACGGAGGTCCTCTGCAGGCAACAGGGGATTCTCTTCGTCCTTTTGGTCGCAGTGCCCACGGGAAGCTGGGGCCCGACGGGGGCCGAGACGCTCCGCCGCCAAGCAAGGGCCAGTGACGCGCGCCTGGGCGAGGAGCCGGGCGCAGGAGCGACGCGTCTCTTCCAGCAGTTGTCGGCGGTTTTCCCGAGGGCTTCCGCCCGCGCCGTCCTCCGGCGGCACCAGGGCGGCCGCAGCTGCCCGGGACGTCCTCGCCGAGGAAGACGAGGGTTTCTTGTAGGCCGCCTCCTGGAGTGGTGTTTTGAGTTTTGGCGACTACTCGCAGCGTGATTCACCCTCCCGCCCGAGTTCGGGCAGCTAGCTTGCACTTTGATTTCTTCCGCTTCTAACGATCCCTTCTGCTGTCGTCTTCTTCGTTCGTCGTCGTCCGTCGTTCGTCTCTTCCGCTCTACTTCGCCTTTCCCGCTCCTTCTCCGCCGTTGGCGTTTCCTCAACCCTTCGGGGGGCTTGTACCTTGCGGCGGGTAGATGAAAGGTGCGCTCCCTGCTCCCACTTGCGGAAGTTGGGGCGTGCGCCGATCGCGTCTCGTTGCTTGGCATAGCCCTCTGCTCGCCCTTGTGCCCCTCGGGACCTCCCCCGTCGTTGCTGCTCGCTGATGGATCGACGCGCGCCTGATCGGCACTGACGGCAGAGCGACGTCAGGATCTCGGGATGGGCGCTCCGAGGGCGCCCTCTCGCGGCAGAGGCTCCGCAGCCTAGTCGTGCAGCTAGCTCTTGAACATTTCGGCATCTGTAGGCGTTGTCCTCGAGGAGCGAGTGCAACGGAGAGCCTGGCAGTAACCCGGCTTCGCGCCCCATGGCAGTGCGCGCGCGGTGCTCGCCAGATTGTCCTCCACTGCTCCTCTATAACTGACGGGGCGCGGGGGAGGCGCCATGTGCCCCAAATTTTTGTTTGTGGCTTCAAAGCCGCGCGCAGGACCGCCGCGGCTGCCTCCTCTGCTTTCCATTGGCTGTGCCAAACCAGGTGGCCCCTCTGTGCGCGAGCTTGCTCGCGCCATTGCACCCGCAGAGACGTGCTAGCCAGTGCCAAGTAGTCCCCCTCATCGTGGCGTCATGGGTTGTTCAAACCAAGCTGCGGCTGGGAATGTGGTACGGTTGCGCGGGAAAATGGAGTCTCAAGTTGTGCGATGTGGATTGCACTTCGCACTTGCATTGCAAAGCTTGCGCCGCACAGCGACAAACACATATATCGCACCGCGCACCTTTAACATTTACAGCGCAATCGCGTATGAATTTCGGGCCCATGCTGGCAAACAGCTCGTTGTCCGATGTGCAATTCATCAATTTTATAAGGTGCAGGTTCGGCCAAACAGCGTCTAGCGGCCTCACAACTTCGCGGCCCCCGTCGGCGCTGTGGATTGCTGACTTCGCGGCCCATCCGAAGCAGGTGGCAGCGACCGACACTTTCTTCACACTCTTTTCCTCCTCCCTGGTTCCCTCTCCTTCTCCTCTATATCCCCTGCCGGATCCACCTTCCATCACTTTCCCCCCCCAGCCCCCCTTTGTATCCATTGTTCGTCGGCCCTCGTCTTTCATTTATCATTAGTTGTTGTTCCCAACCGTCCTTGATTGGGTATTCGTTTTGAATGGAGCACTGTGGTCGCGTCCTTGCTCCTCCTCCTCCCGCCTCCCGCCTCCTGTCTCCCGCGAGAACTCGCCGTCCCTGGGGGGCTGCGATCTGCGAAGCTGTCGCCACTTTCGAGGGCTGCTGGTGGGTCCTGCGGACTGAGGCTCCGCGGGGATCCGAGGTAGACCTCGCCGTCCCTGGGGGGTTGCGATCTGCGAAACAGTCGCCAGTTTCGAGGGCTGCTGGTGGGTCCTACGGACTGAGGCACCACAGGGGATCTGGGGTAGACCTCGCCGTCCCTGGGGGGCTGCGATCTGCGAAGCTGTCGCCACTTTCGAGGGCTGCTGATGGGTCCAGCGGAGTGAGGCCCCGCGGGGATCTGAGGTAGACCTCGCCGTCCCTGGGGGGCTGCGATCTGCGAAGCTGTCGCCACTTTCGAGGGCTGCTGGTCGGTCCAGCGGAGTGATGCAACGCGGGGACCTGAGCGAGACATCGCCATCCCTGGAAGGCTGCGATCTGCGACACTGTCGCCACTTTCGAGGGCTGCTGTTGGGTCCAGCGGAGTGAGGTCCCGCGGGGACCTGAGCGAGACCTCGCCGTCCCTGGGTGGAACTGCGTTAGTAACCACTACGACGCCCTTACATCTTGATCGGGGGCCTGTGAGCCTTCCGATTGCTGCTTGCAAAATCACAGGCGTCCATGTGACGTCGTCGCCCCCGTTGTAGCAATCCTGATGTACTTAAGCCCCGCATTGCGCAAGGGTTGGGTACGTCGCCAGGGTAATTTCCTGTTCACACCTCCATGCCCCCGGTGATTCTCCATCATCGTTTTCCGCCATCCTCTGCCTTCCTCCCTCGCTACAAGCCGCCCCCTCCGTCCTTCGCTTCATCCTCCGTCATCCTCCGTCCTATTGCCTCATTCCCATTCATCTTTTTCCACCTTACTCATCCTTCACATCCTCGTCACGTTTCTGCTCCCACCCGTCCTCCAACCTTTTTCTCCGACTTCCTCCTTCGTTTTCACTCCCTAGCCCTCCCCCCCTCCTTCCTCATCCCGGGTTCCACCCCTCTTTTTCATCCTCCCTCTTCCATTTCTCCGCCATCCAGCTCTTTTCGCCCTCGCGCTGTCTTCCTCCCAAGACCTTCGACGAATTATTCATTGGAGCCCACTGGCCCCCGGACCTCTCGACCGCAGGCTTGTTCGTCATCACTGGCATGGCCGTTTAGTGGCGGCCCGCCCCAGTGCTTCGAAACGGCCGCAGACGCCGAGAATAGCGACAGACATCTGGCGCGATGTTTCTCGAGTCGACTGGAGATCTGGGTCTCTACTTTCGGTTTTTGTGCTATAGGCGTCGGGGCGAAGGGCAGGGTTGGATTGGGCCCCTCTCAGACATGACTCCCCGGAGCTGTCCTGGAGCGCGATTCTACCAGGATCTCGTGCGGGACCCTGCCGATGCCTCCAGCAGCTTGCCGCGGGGCCAAGGGAAATGCGAAGACACCAGAGGCACGCTGATCCTCGAACCTCCTCCTCCTCCTCCTCCTCCTCCTCCTTCCTCCTCCTCCTCCTCCTCCTCCTTCCTCCTCCTCCTCCTCCTCCTCTTCCTCCTTCCTCCTCCCTCCTCCTCCTCTCCTCCTCCTCCTCCTCCTCCTCCTCCTCCTCCTCCTTCCTCCTTCCTCCTCCTCCTCCCCCCCAGTCATCCAATTTGCTCGATGCGCGGGGCCCCACGTCTCGAGCCCCCTCTGCGGGGCCAGCTGCTCGCCTCGAGTCGCGCTCTGCCCGGACGGCCCCGGGCCCGCAGCAGGCCTGCGAAGACGGGAAGCGGCCACAGACAGGCCGCCTCCCGGGCGGGTGTCGGAGGGCACCAACTATACACCAACACCGATCCTGGCCCAGGATCACCCTGGGCCCAGGATCGGTGTATATGCCTTCTTGCGCAAGGCAGGAGGGTGTATACACCGATCCTGGGCCCAGGGTGATCCTGGCCAGGATCGGTGTTGGTGTATAGTTGGTGCCTTCCTAGGGTGGCAACGGGGGCTGACGCGACCGGGGGGGTAGGAAAAGGGCCCCAGATGGGGCCCTTGAGAGCCCCCATGTGGAGCCAGCGGGGGCCCCAAACGGGTCCTTCGGGTCCCCACGAGGGTTCTCTGGCCCTCGAGAGCCCCTCTTTCGGAGGCCCCAAACGGGCCCCTCGGGTCCCCATGAGGGCCCTGTTCTTCCACCTCATTTTGCATCACCTCTCATTGCCACCCGCCCGAGCTTTGAGTTTTTGTTCGAGGCGCCGGACTTCTGGGTCTGGCTCACGGGGCCCCGCAGAAGTCTCGACCCTTCCCCCAGGGCCGGCTTGTCCCGAGTCGTTGTTTGGCGGTCCCAGGGCTTGGCGAGGGCCTCCAGAGGCCTCCAAGTTCGAAGACACGTCTGGTGGTCGTGGCTCTCCCTGCACGGCGCGAGGCGGTGTGTTTCCTCCCCCCCGCCCGCTGAGGTCTGGTTCACCGGCCATAGCCTGGGCGGCGCCATGGCCACGATCACAGCCCACCGGGCGGCGGAGATGCTCGCGCGCCCCCCGGTCGCGCACCGCAGCGTCCGCATGATCGTGGCTTCGAGATCGAGGATCGGGGATGGAGGAGTGGGCTCGACTTCTCGCCCCCATTTCCCGAGATCACCCCCAAGACAAGCTGCCCTCGAGTACGGCAGGGAAGCTCGAGCATGCACCCTCGGGGGGGGGTGCTTAGTGCTTAGTCATTGAGTGCGCCACCATCGAGGAATGACACCCCCCGAAGTCGTTGGCCCGTCGAGAGACCCACATACGAACTCGGCGGTTGGGATCGCCAAGCCTCTTCGTTACGAGGTTCAACGATCGAGGACCAGAATTCGAGTTCCGAGGATCAAGGCTGGGGATTCGAGGATCAAGGTCCGAGGTTCCAGAAACGAGGTTTCCAGGTCCGAGGCTTCAGGATCGAGGTGCAAGGTCCGAGGTACGAGGGCTTCAGGCTCGAAGTTTGAGGATTTGAGGCTCGGGGTCGGAGGTTGTCGGACGCCCTTGGCCCCTTGCGGGCCGCATGCGGTCTCTCCGCCGACCTCTTGGGGGCCACTGGAGAGACACCAGGTGGAACAGGCCTCCGGGCACCGCGATAAAGCGGCGACGGGCGGCCCTCCCGAGCCTGGGGCTTTTGGGGGCCCGCTTCGGCGGCCCAGCGGCCGTCGCAGAAGGACCCGCGACGAAAGGGCAGCCCCACGTGGGGAGGGCCCGAGAGCTCCGCGAGCCAGCCGCCCTGAGCAAGAGGTACTACTACAACGACGCGAAGATCGGGACAAAATCGGATCGGGATAACTCGAAAACTCTGAGAATCGGCGGGTTTGGAGGATGTATTGGGCGCCGCGGCCGCTCCAGAGCGTTCCAGAACGCTCTGAGAGCGCTCCGGAACGCTCTGGAGCGATTTATCCCGATCCTAGCCTTGTTTTAACTACGAAGGAGGTCCGAAGTGGTGGTCGACAGTAAACTCGGGCGGGGGGCATTGGGGGGCGACTCAAATGAGGTCTGAAGGAAAGGGCCATACAAAAAGGGCTCTTTCGGGCCCGTGCCGGCTCCCAAAGGGGCCGGAAAGGACCCCGTCAGGGCCCTCTTCTTCACCCCCGATGTAGGCCACCCCCCCTTACCACCCGCCCGATACACGTGGTTGTTGATCGCACATGGTCGGCTCGGCCGGGTTGCGCCACCGTTTAGCATCGTGATCGCTGGCTACCGTCGAAAAGTGCTGGAGGGGTTCGTTGCATGCGGTCGGTTTCGCGCGTGCGGTCCCGCTCGGACGTCGTAAGCACGGGGAGATAAGCGGGTGGGCGCCGTTTTCAATGGTGCGATCCGGACAGTATTGAGTTGGCCCTTGTTTCGGTAGGGAAAATGAGAATCAATTGCACGCTGCACTTTGGAACCCTCAGCGTTTTATTCGTCCGTTGTTGTCCGAACGCTTGTTACTGCTCAGCAGTGCACGCCGCAGATGGGTTCCGCACGGCGGCGGGTCACTGATACAGTTGCCGCTCGCGATGTTGGCCCATGGTCACCACGGTGATGGGACTCGTGATCGGATCCGATGGTCGGCCCAGTGATCGGCTCGACACTCAGGTCGTGTACACGTTCGGCCAGCCTCGCACCTCCAACGCCGCCTTCGCGCGGCTTTTGGATCATAGCTTGCCAAGGTACTTCCGCGTCACGAACGGAGGGGACCCAGTGCCGGACGTGCCTGGGTGCACGTACTCGAGCAATGGCACTTGCATGGCGACGCCGACTGGGTACCACCACGCAGGGACAGAGATCTGGTTCCCTGGACCTCCACCTTCTGCCTACTCCGTGCGGCAGGTGCCTCTGCGTTCGCGGCAGCCGCCGCGAACGCAGCGGCGGGCCCACCACGGAAAATGGAGAAGAGGGAGGCCGAAGGTTTCCGAAGGGGGACTACCAGAACGGCGTCATGTGCGGATACCGCGAGTGTACCGGCGAACCGAAGGCCGAGGATTATGCGTGCGGTCAGGCGAGCTCCTTCGGATCCGTCTATGATCACTGCGGGTATTTCAACCTGATCCCTGATGGGTTCTGCAACAAGCTCGGCGGTTTGGGTGGGTGGAAGCCAATCAGCCACTTGCGTCATCGCACCAGTCCTGGCCCCCATTGGGGATGCTCCCGGGGAGGCCTCCTAAAAGCCCAAGCAAGGGGCAGGAGGACGACGACGAGGAGCAGGAGAAGGGGGAGGACAGGGGGGCGACGTCGAGTCGAAGGAGGAGGAGGAGGAGGAGGAGGAGGAGGAGGAGGAGGAGGAGGAGGAGGAGGAGGAGGAGGAGCCTTGCCGTGGCGTTCCTGTCAGGCGGCTCGCCCGCTCTGCTCCCCCCGCTGGCGGTCGGCGGGGCCGCCGAGACGGTCGTCGTCTGAGCGCGCCGCGCCACGCACGCCAGGGGGTCCCAGAGGAGGAGGATGAGGAGGAGGAGGAGGAGGAGGAGGAGGAGGAGGAGGAGGTGGTACGAGCGCAGGAGGGGAGGGGAGGAGCACGGGGAGGGGGAGGAGGGGGAGGAGGAGGAGCACGGGGAGGGGGAGGAGGGGAGGAGGAGGAAGAGGAGGAGGAGGAGGAGGAGGAGGAGGAGGAGGAGGAGGAGGAGGAGGAGGATGAGTGGGGAGGAGGAGGAGGAGGAGGAGGAGGAGGAGGAGGAGGAGGAGGAGGAGGAGTGGAGGAGGAGGAGGAGGAGGAGGACTCGCTAAGACCAAACAACTCCCAAGTTGTGCACCGCCAGTTGTCATGTGCCCGGCTCTCTAGAAGGTGTCGAAAGGCTACCAGGCTTCCCTAATGTGGGATGTGGGCGTGGAGGACGAAGAGGAGGAGGAGGAGGAGGACTGAATGGGAGGAGGAGGAGGAGGAGGAGGAGGAGGAGGAAGAGGAGGAGGAGGAGGAGGCAGGGGGCTCGGTAAGACCAAAGAACTCTCAGGCTGTGCACCGCAAGTTGTCTCTGTGCCCTGCTCTGGAAGATGCCGAAAGGCGACCAGGCCTCCCTAATGTGGGAGGATCATGCGGAGGAGGAGGAGGAGGAAGAGGGGGAGGAGGAGGAGGAGGAGGAGGAATGAGGTGGAGGAGAAGGAGGGAGGGGGCCATTGAGGAGGAACAGGAGAGGGAGGACGCAGGCGATGGGGAGGAGTGGGGGAACGATGGCGCTGACGACGAGCAGGGCAAGGGGCAAGGAGAAAGAAGAGAAGGTGAAGGGAGAGGGGGAGAGGGAGGAGGGGAGGAGGGAGAAGATGGGGGTACTGGGATGAGGATGCTGACCCGTGCACGCCCAAGACTCATCAACGATGTTATAAAATACCCTCCCTCCAAGCTCCCTCTTCATAGGCCCCTACAGGGATTCATTTCCACTGATGGAAGTGTTCCGTTGGGAGACAAGTGTTAGAAAACACTGATGCGCACCAAAACACCATTCTCGGGATCCCAGCGCCACGAATCAATCTGACTGTTGCGTCTTGACGACCCAGAAGTGTGCCAGAACGCCTCATTTCTGGGAATCCAGCACCGCGAATCAACGTGAGTGTCACGCCCTCGCAGTCCTGAATCGCTCTCAAACACGATATCTGACACTTTGACCATGGGAATCCGTGAAACGCCTGCATGTGTTCAAAACTCCTGTGTGCGGCGCTAAGGCGAGAGTCGCATGCTGAAAAGGAGTCGCTCCCAACCGGTGCAACTCTTGCAAATCTTTAGGACGAATGCGCGCGTCGCTGAGGTGTGAGCCACATGTTGAAGAACGGCCCGCCCTCCATTCGTGAAATTCTTGGATTGATTGGATGAAAACCGTCCGCCCTCATCTGTGCAAGTGAAACTTTCAGGATCATGACTGCTAAGGAAGTCTCGTGCACACCGCGGGGCCGATCCTCCCGATCGGCCTGGGGTTGCGACAGGGAGGAGCGACTTATAAGGAGAAGGAATTGAGGAGGAGGAGGAGGAGGAGGAGGAGGAGGAGGAGGAGAGGAGGAGGAGAGGCGCCGATGAAGAGGGGGGTCAGGGCGCGAATGGGGGATGGCGATGGGCGGATTATAGGAGGTGGCGGAGGTGGCGGAGGTGGAAGGGGCGAAGTGGGGGGAAGAGAAAGAGGGATTGGTGGAGGAGCAGGTGGATGAGTAGGAGAAGGATTGAGAAGGATGAGGACTCTCAGGTGCTACTCCGTATGGTTATCCTCCTCCTAGCCGCCTTTAGCCCCTTCTTTCTGCCTCATACAAGATCCATACCTGTCGCACCACCAGACGTGTCGTTAGGGCGGTCTGGGCGTTTCGCCGGAGACTTCCCCACCGTCTACGGGCTTGAAGCTTGAAATGTTAAACAGGTACACGGGTGGAGGGCGGGTGGTTTTCGAAGTGAAACTTCCGCTTCAGCGACACAAGGAAATACGATTAGCAAACACTGGGTACACATTGAGAGCGAGTCATTTTCAAAATGAGGATCTCACCTCGGCGACGTGCACCATCGTCTTAACAAGTCAACAAGTTATGTAGATGGCGGCTCTTTAGCACAGGGGCCCTCCTGCAAATAGTTCCACCACATGTATACAATACGTTTGTAATGGCTACACGGATGGAGGGCGGCTCTGTTTCGACATGAAGTTTTCGATTGTGATTTCGCCCAGATGTATAATTAAGATAAATGTTAGCCAACATGGGCCCTCAATGCTCAACGTGAAGTTGTCCACTCCATTGCTCGCGCAAACGTCCCACCCACCCACCCGCAACTAGGTTCACAAACCCTATGCGGCGGCGATTGCGATGAGTGCTTGGCGCTGGCTGGTGTATCTCTGCGGCCGCGACAGCCCGCGCATGCACGCGCGCGCATGTACTTTGGCGCGACCGACGCAGCAGCGGTGGCGCTGACCGCTGAGCACATCCCAGCGGGCACTTCAGTGCGAGTCGGCGACTTGGCCGTGCGTGGTATCATGGCAACGTCGACAACGGTAGACACGGTGATGCGACTAGCGATGTTGGCGACGACGATGACAACGGCGACCACGGCCAGTCACGGTGCGGATGTTGATTATGCCGACGGCGATGGCAGCGTCCTCGCGTCGGCGATGAAGGTTTCGGACAGAGTTCGACATGCGCGCGCGGCCGACGCGCGAGAGCGGCCGGCATGGTTTATTTGACACGGATCGTGCCCCCCCCCCCGCACGCGAGCAAGGGCGTGCGAATGATGCCGGCATGCGGCGCCAGAGGCCCGTTTGGCAGAATTCCATGAAGATGTTGCAAAGATTGTTTTTGTTCGAGAATTCGCAAGAGCGCTCGCGCGCAAGCTTTTTCGAAAACCGATGACGCGAAACCTGGTGCTTTTTTGAGTGTTTGTTGGACATGCGGGTTGGAATTCGTTCCGAAACCCGAAGTTTTTGAAGGATGCCGACATGCGCGCGCGATGACGCGCGCGTGCGCACGCTGTTTTTTGTTGCAAAGGGTTCTCGCGACGGCAAGCGCGCGAGGGCGTTCAAACGATTTCGACACGGTGCGCGTGAAGCCCGTTTGGTAGCTTTTTCTGGACATTAAGAATTCGCAAGAGCGCGCGCGCATGTTTTTTTTGCCATGCCATTTGTTGTTGTAGGTTCTTTGGGCACTCGATTTTGAAATCCTTCCATAACCGACTGTTTTTGAAGAGTTCCGGCATGCGCGCGACGACGCGCGCGTGTGCACTTCGTCCTGTTTGTTGTAAGGGATTCTTGAAAACCGATAACGTTTGATGACCGAGTGCGCGCGCATAGTTTTTTGTTGCTGAGGATGGCGGGGGGGGGCGATACCAGCTTCGTTGGGATGGTACGAGCTCATAGGCAGGATGCACGATGGGGCAGAATCAAATGTGAAGTGCAATACGGAAAGGTGGATCGATAAAGCGGGGGATCATTAAAAAAGATATGCGACGGCGACGGCGGGGACGGGCGGCACCGCTCGCAAAAACCGCCACTCGCCCCGAGCGGAAGCGCCAGCGACGGCGACGGCGACGGCGGCGACGGGCGGCACCGCCCGGAAAAACCGCCACTCACCCCGAGATGGTTAAGCCAAGTAAGAACCCCTAAGTACAAGCACTGTTTGGGCAAGTTTGCGCAACAGGTTGCATGGACATAGGACGGCTCCTGTTCAAACGAAGTTGTTATTGGGCACGTTAATTGTTGTTGACCAAACTTTGCCGCAATCAGTCAAGCTCGAACGAACGATCAAATGAAGAAAGGCATTGTCTTGCAAGACGGAGCTCCCGCGTCACTTGCATGTCCATGGGGCGCTCGTTTTTACAGGAGGACGCCTCGCGCAGTGAAACATGTTGGTTGCAGGGGCTGGTGAGAAGGGGACTTGGGACGGGAGGGTGCATTGCAGCATCTTTTGTGTATGTGGTTATTCTGGTCTCCTCTCATCCTACTCCTTACTCTTCTCCTCCTCCTCCTAGTGCTCCTCCTCCTCCTCCTCCTCCTCTTCCTCCTTGTCCTAACCCTCAGCACACATGATAAGATATATTTATACCTCCTTGATCCTCCTCCGGCTCATTTGTCCGCCCTGCTTCTCTTGCCTCGTCTCCTCGCCCGAAGCCGCCTCCCCCATAGTGGATGTGCCGATGCCGTCTGCACTGTCCCACTCTGGGACCGCGCCCCGCAGCACATGGCACAAGGGGATCGAATGCCGCTCGGCTCGGTCGCTCCCACCGCACAGGTGCAAGGTCGCCTGGGTTGCGGCCCGTCCCGGTTCGACCGCGCTGTGCCCCCGCCTACACCGCTGCGACAAAAGTGGTCTGCGCACGGTCCCGCAAGTCGTGAGCCTCGGCCTCCGCGCCCGTTTGAAGCATCCGGAACCGAAGGGGCGCAGTGCGATCTTCCGAGCACGCGCGATCGGCAGCAAATCATGGGAGTCTAGTGTACCCTCGTGACTCAGTCTTTAGAGCGCGCTCGCGTCGATTTGTGTCTGGTATTCGATGAGGTGGCGTCGATTTAGCGTCGATGTAGCGCCGATGTAGCGCCGATTTGGCGTCGATTAGCGTCGACTAGCGTCTGCTACCGTCGGTGACTGTCGATTCGCAAGAGCCGGCAAGATGGTATGGGAGGCTTCCACGAGTTGCCGCAGAACTTGCGCCCAGCCGAATTCGTGCGGCGCGCTCCGCCAGCTCGCCGCCCTCGTTGTACAGCGAGCCCTCGCTCCGGGCCGTGCCGGGCGGGGCGCCCCTTCCAGCGGGGACCGCGCAGGCCAGCCTGCAGTCTGCGCGCACGGGTGCGCGGGCCGAAAGACCGCTTGGGCTGACTGGCAGGAACCAAGGTCTTCTCCCCTCCTCTTCCTCCTCTCCGCCGCCTCCTCCCCTCTTCTCCCCCCCCAACACGCACGCGCACGCGCTCACACTTGCACACACTTGCACACACTTGCACACACTTGCACAG